TGATCTTGTTTAAAAAAAGTAAGAAAATTAGACTTTAAGTGAATTAGATTTTTATTTAAACAAAAAAACTTATAAAATATTTTTACCGTAATAATGGATTTATAGTACTAATTGTGAATTATTTTTTACTTTTTTTATTTATTTAATTTTAAATTGTTAAAATAATAAGGGATTAGATTTTTTAACTATTCATCAGCAATTACCATAACAACAAATTACAACAAAATGAATTCAAAGTTATTTTTAAATTCGAATTTAATGATGTAAAGACGGAATTTTTAAAAAATGTGAAAAATTACCAAGATTAGTAACTTTTAAATTTGTGAGCGGGATTTTTGTTAATTTTCATGTAAATACAAACTTTTTAATATATTAACAGATATAGATATTGTTACTCTAACCAGTAGCCATTAGATTTAATTTAACTATTATAATTGAAAGTGTGTTTAAATTAGAAAAAAATACTTTTGTTTGGAAACAAAACAAACATTCATTTTTTTTTTTCTATTTTGCTTCGTATGGGTCGGGCACAAAACAAACATTCAATACAATTTGATAACCACAAACTGAAACGCTTGTACACGCTACCATGTGTCTCACTCGCCCCCCACGCATCTTCCATTGCAGCCATAATTAATATGTGCTTTCACCGCCCCTGAATATCAAGAAACATCTCCACCCATCTCTACTCTCAATCAATCCAGAATAATACCAACAAATCCTCCCAATCCGTTGCAGATAATTCGAAATCGAAAAGGAAAAAGAAAATCAAAAATCATGGTGCGTTGCGGTAACAAACCTAGTCGGGCTCCTGAACATCATCACGCTCGTCCTCTCGATCCCGATCACCGGCGGTGGGATATGGCTTTCCCTGCTGGCCAACACCGAGTGCGAGCGGTTCCTCGACCGGTCGGTCATCAGCGATAGCCTGGCTCCTCGTGTCCATGGTCGAACTCATCGCAGGGTTTCGTGGCTCCTATGGGTGTACCTGCAGTGCTGATGATAATTGTCCTTCTTTTCTGCTTCACGATCTTCACCTTATATTAATAGATCACGCGGACGGTCTCGAGTGTATGTCATTATATTTTCTCTGTATTATTTTTCTGCATGTTTTGCGCCTTAATTTTGAAGAGCTCATAAAAAAAAATTGTATCAATTAATACCCTTTTATACACAGGTTTTCTCTGCTCGTTTATCTCCACGAAAATTATGGAATGATTTTGTTAAGATATTAACCAAAATAGGAGGATTCTGTTTCCACGAAAATTATGGAATGATTTTGTTAAGATCTTAACAAAAATATGATGATTCTGTTTTTTTTTTTAACGCGTTAATGTTTAAAAACACGTGAATTTGTTAGGATAATTATCTTATGCGATTTCTTAGAATGAATTTGTTAGGATAATTTGTTAGGATTATTATCTACCAAACAAAATAGGCGTGAAGAATGGTGATAAGATAAATATGATTTAAAAGAAAAAGAAAAGCAACAAAATTTTTAGGATAATTACCAAAGCGTGATATTTAAATGACTTTCTACCAATCTACACAAAACGTGAAAATAGGAGATAAATTAGGAAAAAATTAAAACAAAAGAAAAGCAATAAATAAGTCTTTATTTTTTAGATATTTAAAAGACTTTCCACAAATGGGAAGTCAAAGTCTTTTTGACCAATTTTTTAAAACTTTCCTCAAATAATTTTTTTTACCTTCCTCTTTCAATTATTATAGATTATAAAAATTGGAAATTAGAATTGTGTTTGTTTGTGCATTCTATAATTGTTTTTACTTGTTAGCACTATACTAAAAATCGGCCTCTTAATCGGCCTAGGCTCTGATTTGTATGAATTGGCTGAAAAAACCAGTCAGACAGTTCGGCGTTGATTTTTCAGTTTTTTTTCTGTATTTTTTAAATATTAATTACATTATTTTGTTATCATGTTTTCTTTATGCTATGTTAGTATTATTATTTGGATTTAGGTGTATGAATCTTTTATAAGTTGAGATAGTTTTATACTGTAGGCAGTTAAAAAGGATACGACGAGGCACGGTATTGAGGGATGTTGTGCTGAGTAGGGGAGGAATGCACTATGACTATGAGGTCCCAGGCTATCTTAGCTGGGATGCTAAGTTGCGGGGCCGAGAGTTGGTGTGTCCTTAGGCTAAATGTGGCATTCAATCGAGTCTTCGTAGGGCGACGAAGACTCGTGCGCGAGACTCAGCTATCAATGTCCAAGCAGCTAGAGTCGGCACTCTCTTTTCCCATTCTTGAGGAATGTAGTGGTCTCATAAGGGTGTTGGGCGGGATGGTGTGGGATACACGTGCAAATTGGTTGAGATCTTGTGTGGGGTCTTGACGTACATCGAATCGGTTGGGATCGAAGGTGTACTGTCGAAAAATACTCAATTATGGGGTTGGGTAAAAGTCGAGGGCTCAGTCGGATGAAGGTTGCCAAGGGTTGTGCAAGGCTTTGCGGGCATGTGGGCTTGACTCAGTGACGCTAGTACCAGGTACGACGCGGGCAAGGGGACACCTATGCGCCCTAATAGGCTCGAACGAGGGAGTAAGGTAGCCAAACGAGACATGGTCGGAGTTAGGCTGGTACTATATTTGAACGTTAGATATGTGTGTAAGGCCGGGGGTGGCGTCCCTTGATACGTGAATAAGGCCAAGATGTACTAGAGTAAGCATGCGCGCATGAGATAGCTTCATTGGGGTGTTGTATCGTGTGTGAGCGAGCCATGGAATTTTCATTATGCAGTTGAGTAATTATAGCCATTGGTTAGGCGCGAGCCCGTAACTGTGTTTGTGTCACTTGTTATTTACTTGATGCTTCCACGAGTGCGTGAGTGACAGTTTGCACCGCCGCCAAACTATACTTGTATGGACTAGAGAAGGTTTGGCGGGTCACGATTAGGGATGACTGGTCAAGGATATTAGGCTGCACGGGGAGATGATCGGGCAAAAATTTTTGCCTGCAAGCTGGCCTTGTGACAAGTG